TAAGAAGAAGAATCGATGCGTTACTCTTTCCTTATATTTCAGGGTTGAGTTGTATATGAATACAGTTCAGTTTATCGAACCACAACAAAGGTTTACAATTCGTAAGGATCCAGTTACAATTGGAACTGGCGTTTTTACTAAACTCCATCCACCACGAACAGAAGCTGAAAAAGATAAGAAGACTATGAGAATGGCGATGAAGGTTTGCATTTTCTTTTGTCAAGTGTTGCCTTCCCATCATGTTCTAAGATTATTTTCTTAGCAAAAATTGCTACCCTTTCACAAGTGTATTGCACTAATTGCAGGCTGAAATGGAACGACTTGGCTTCAATCCATATGGTGAGCAAATGGAGAAAAGGTTGAAACCTGATTATTCGAACAGTCCCAAGCAGGATATGTCAGTTTCAAAACTTTTTGAAGAAAGTGCACAGAAATAAATTAGTTCATGACTCCATAGCTAAAGTTTGTTTGCTCCAGGTATATTAGGAATTTGAAAGTCAAATTTTTCGGGTAAAAAATGGTTTGAGGGAATTTCACTGCTCTTAATCCCGTCACTCCCATATTATTAATGTTGGCCTTCGGATTTTGTTGATCACCTTTCCTATTTGTCCCTAGGCCTTTGTTTTGGCATCAGATCGCGCTGATCGATACTGTCATATTGTTTAGACATGTCTTGTTATGGTAAAATAATTGATCTGATTTGTGAAATTCAAGATAATGAAACAAATTATTTGCTGATGATAAAAGTATCTTTAATCTATCAACTTTCGATTTTTTTTCTTTTTTTTGTACAAAAAAGTTGGAAGATAGAGTGATCAGTATTCCACCATGATAGGATAGGAACGAAAAACCTTAAATGTCCTACGAAATTTTGAATTAGAATTCAAGAAAATATTTCAGGATTTTTTCTTAACCTAAGAAATTTTCTAGTCCTCTCCTAATCTATGCTAGTAGCAAAAAACTAAAAGCGAAGTATAAATTAGCTGAAAAAACACCGGTTAGTTCAATACAATAATAATAGTGCTATATCAAAAAGTTAACATGAGGAATCAAAAATTCCATCAAAGACTCCAAATTCTCACATTATCATCATCGAGGGAAAGACAGTGTTAACAAGAATAAAACACAGAAGATTTGGTAGATTACAGAGATACAATTAACATAACAATGAAGTATAAAAAAAAACTATGCAAGGAATTTATAAAGGGAGGTGAAAGATGTAGAAATGTTAAATCTAAAAGCACAGCAATGAGGTATAATGAGGTATCATGTAAGTTTTCTTCAGGAAAAGACAAGATGGCATAAATTGTAAAAGGAAGTGAAAAATGTGAGTAAAGTAACAGCTTAAGTTTCTAATACTTCCTCTCCGCCGAAGTGCGAATAAGCGTTGTTTCTTCACTAGCATTCTTATTATCTTATCTTTCACTACAAATTATTTTGTTACCTCTATCCTCCAATTTATTTTGGATGGATGAACTATTTTTATTTTATCTAAAATTTACTTATATCCTAAAAAGATTCTAGTTTATATTCAATATCAGACACTGTACAAATAAGCAAATTGTATGACAGATATTCCTATAATGCTACAACATCTTGATATAGAATTTTTCATAACACTCGTTCATAACACTTTTCATTTGTTACGAAGATGTAATTTGAAGTTTTCAGAAAAACTATATGGTCAGGGAGTGATGTTATTTGTCTTTTCTAAACGATAACATGCATTCATGAGAGCTAAAATATACAGCATTACTTTTTCACCTATACTTCGGAATCTTTTCGTTACTGAAATCAGACTTACGTAAATAAAAAACACATGACATTTTGACTGAACAAAAACTAAAACCATTCTGGTGGCTGAGAACTCAAACCTTCACTGCTAGGACCTGGAAGAACCTGAAAGTGATCTTCATCGAATATTTTTCGAACAAATGCCATAAATTTCATACATCATAAAAAGTCCACGGAAATTCGTGAAAATTTAGAGACCTCTTGATATTCATGTTGAAGCTCACTGATCTGTTTACGCTTAATGAGATGATCATGCAATTTGCGAAGTTCCTCATTACGTTCGCGTAATTCCCTACGGTTTGACATTGCATTCTTCATATTCTCCACCAACTGATGTAATCGAAAATAAATCTAGAAATCAAAATATCTAAATAAATCACTAAAACTTTTGCAATATCTGCTATAAAATTTAAAGTGAAAAGTGACACAGTACGAGAAACATAAAAGATACAAAGATCGCTATTCGAAAAGACTATTTGATGGAGTCAGTATATTGAGTTTTTAATGATGACAAACAGACAAAGGACATTGCACAATATGGATTCCCCTATTCGACATCACTACTACAATTTTTTGACCGAATTATGAGGAAAAAAGAGAAGCTAATTGAACAAAGGTACTTACGGCCTTTTTAAGTTTGCTATACCAATTGGCATCAGCATAATCTATAGACCTGATGAACTGTCTACAAAGTAATAATACCTTAAAATAAACAAGTAAGTAGGTATGTAATCATTGGATAACATCAACATCAATCATTAGATAACTAATTAAAGATGAATTTTGATGCTTGAATTTATCTCAAAGTTGCCAATAATTTTAATTTCTCGTACTAGTGAGACAAGTGAGGTAAAGATTCAACATGAAAATATACCTGGTCGACAACAGCTTTCTCTTCGGGAGTAGGGTTCTCAGCAGCCATTTCGGTATCATCTTTTGTCTGATTGGTAGAACTCCTATATCTAAGCGATGTGCTCGGGGAATCGTATTCTTTTGTCCTTTTCCTACGCGTTACAACATTTGCTTTTTTCTGTTCTTTACGACATTCCTAAATTTTTGGTAGTTTGATTATTAAAAAAATTTCCATTTCCATATTATTAAAAATACATAAAGGTCATTATTCAAATCATACTCTGCAACTGATCGGATAGTGATCATTTAAAATGCTTAATCGTTAACAGCAATGCTTCACCAGTTTGACTCAAGTTTTTTTTTTCCTTAGATTTCATATTCCCCTCAGCTTCTGTCAACCGCACATAAGCTGAGTTTTGCATGAAACAAATAAGTTACATGTCTGATTAGATGGATGAAAAAAGAATTCATAGCATTACCTCAGATATCGAAGAATCCTTCACTGACTCACCTTTTGTTTCGTATGCCGACGAACATCCGTAGAAGCTTTCCGGCTACCAGATTTCGTCCTCGTGATCCGAAGAATGATAGGGCTTCGGGAAGACTTTCCGGAAGATGAGGCAGATGGGCTGCAAGTTATTCGCTTGAAAAAATCTTCAAAATTTTTTAAAAAAGAAATAAAAACAGAGAAGTTCAGATGGGATGGAAATGAGAAAACAATAATAATAAGTTGGTCACTTGTCTTGCTCTACTGGATGAGAACCACTTAATATCTGAGATACACTAGCTGGGTCATCCGCTGAATTTAAGTTGACTTTTGCAGCCTCTTTGGGAAACGTAAACTGAAAAAAGACAGAAATAGGGAAATCGAAAATGAAGGGAGGAATAGATAAAAATGAAACTAATCACAGAACTATTTGATTAATTACAAATCCTAGTGGTGATATGATGATATACTGGATTAGCATGCTAGACATAAATATCTCATAAAGTCAACCGTCAAATCCTTCCCAGAACCTAATCATGTAAATATATATTCAATAGTTGATTTTGCTGCAAAATAATCTTAAAAATTCACTTGAAAACGTGGTCCATTTCCTGATACGGTTCTCAAAGCTTTTAAGGCACGTTCGGCAAGAGTGACACCAATCATGCGAACACGATCAGATACATCTTCCTCATTACCAAAACGCATACGCAGCTGAGTATCGTACAAGACCGGGACATGTTCAGTGACATGGAGCGGCTTGTTCTTTCGAAGTGTTTCACTGAGAGCTAAAAAGTATATCTATTACAGAGAATTTGAAGAGAATTTTTTATCTCTTTCTGTAACAATGATAATAAAAATATGACTCTAAACTTCTCTTTCAACTTAATATGTTGTAATTCATCACAACAGATTATTTAGGTATTGGGATAATAATTTCTCTAAGACACATAAGAACATTTTAAACAGTTTTCATGATATGTACCAACAAACTATAAGTAATAAAACTTAAGTTTACCAGCACAACTGAATATGCCTTCAGTGTCATCTATTTCTTCATTTCTAATTTCTTCAAATTCTTCCTTCTCTGTCGAACATGGTTTAGGATCCAAAGGCTACAAAAACCTTATGCTTTTTTTAAATTCTTTCAAGCACAGCAGTTTTTAAATTCTAAACTGATCATAAAACGGAACATACCGCGCTTTCAATCCTATCTGGAGTATTTGAGGATCTTTTCCAAACTCGTCGAGCCAATATCCTTGGTTTCCGAATCACTTGTGTCGACGGTTCCTCAGCACTGGTAACATGTTGATTTTCATCATCTTTGCACATATCAAGCAATACTTAAAACATATTAACATAGATAAATTAATATGACAAACAGATATGGAAAATTATAAAGACGACTAGTATTAATAGGTAATACTTAATCTTTAGATAACTTCACAAACATGCATTTTACAAAAATAATATCTTTAATAATAGTTTCTAGAACAAAGAAATGTCGACAAAGAGATCACAATGGATGTCAGAGATCAAAAGAAGAACAATAGATATCATTTAAATACTGCTTACTTGTATGTAACTATTACAAATGTGGAAGACAAATATATGCGTGACGTGTGAGTATGCAGCTAAGGTACGTGAGCCTCTCGAAATATTTGAATTTAAATAAAAATGTGCTTACGCAACAGAGCTAGCTATGCAACTTTTCCAAGGAAATTTGGTTGGAAAGACGAAATTGAGGTCGAAATTAGAAATTTGGTTGGGAAGACGAAATAGACAAGATGAATTAATTTAAGCCACAGTACAAAGAATATGCAAATTTCTTGCTAAATCTCTAAACATAAAAGAGGACTCATTCCAGATGAATGTAAATATTGTTAAAATTTATTTTAAACTGAGCGATAAAAGAACAGGAAGAATGTGTATGCGAGCAAAGAATGGTACTTTTCATTTGATTCTTTGCCAGTTATTTATTTAAATTGCAACGCTAACTACGAATATCATAATAATTTATCGCTGTTAGGCTATTACTTGATTTGTATTCTCTCATCCTCCTCATATGTGTCACCTCAATTAACTTACCGAAATTAAACTTGACGTTAGTAACGTTTGTTGCAGAAAAAATATTTCTAATTGCAAGTCAGTTCGAGCACAGAGGCCCGTTGAAAATCGAAAATGAGAAAGTAGATCTTGAACAAGTAAATATTTTTTTTAATTCCTGCTTTTTAGCTTCGTTTTTTACTCGTCCACCTAAATCTTGCTTTTCTTTGAATTCCATGAAATTATCCTGTTCAAAAAAGCCATGCAAGGTACTGATTCCCTTCCTTCTTCAATTACTTCCGCTTATTGCTCTGTCGAGCATTTTGTTGCAGGTGAATGACGAGGATGACACACGAGCAGTTGAAAAACATTTTACATTTGCTGAACAGCATGAGGTAAGGTTAATTATTCATGCCTGATATGACTGAGTAATATTACCAAGACGGCGATTTATTCCGATGTTTAGAACTTTTACTGCTCTTCAGTGTAATTCCAGAATGAATGCTTCATCTGCTCATATTTCCAGGTGTTCGATATTGGACCGGAAATTGAAGTTATTCATTAAGCAAACGATAACCTCCTATTTCCGATGAAAAAGTCCACCTATTCAATGATCACATAGCGCAATATTGGACAATACGCTATGTGACATTTGTAATTAGAAATATCAATATGAATAATTATGGTGTTTATATATAAATTAATCTTTTTGATATTCACAGGAAAAATCCTTTCAATCGTGCTATCCAGTTCTACAAATGATAATAATTATGCTATGATAAATTCTGGGTTTCTTAAAAACTGAATTACGTAAACTCGTAAAATAATTTTGAATTTATAAAATCCATTATAGTTATTGATTTCAATGATCTGCTATATATTAGTTTGACTCATATTCACTTTTTTCTAAAACAAAAACAAACTGATACCAGGACGATTACCAAGTGCATAAAAATCTTTAAACAGCTCAAGACTTCTCAATATTACCCATTGTCATTTTTTCACTATGCCAAATATTGAAATAGATTTGATTGTCTGTTACCTGAGGAATCAGATATTAGCTTACAGAAAGAATTAGAAAAGCTGGAAGAAAATACCTTCAAGTATTTCATCAATTTGCATTAACTGAAGGCTGAAAGACCAGAATCTACGAAAAGTATCTGTCACCATTCATACGTTCCCTTAATCCTACTCACACATGACTAATACAGATGTTTCCTGGCTGAGTTGTAGACAGTTATTATATTCAAACATTCAAATTACTTAAAAGTATGGAACAAAAAAAGTGACAGTCGTATTTCCACATACAACTTGCACCTACTGAAAGTTTCAATTGCAATAATATAATTACCGATCGTGGGATGGTGGGATTTGAAGCTCTAAACTTTCCTTTGAGTATGTAATGATTCATGACAAGTTATTTGGATATTGCGATAATTTCTTTAAGACACATACGAATTTCTAAACAGATATATAAGAATATAACACAATTGAAAATACCTTCAGTATTCGAGGCCTGATCCATTTCAACATTTCCAGATTCTTTCTTCTCTATCGAACATGGTTTAGGATCCAAATCCTACAAGAAATTTTGCTGCTTTTCTCAATTCTTTCGAGCATAGCAATTTCCAATTTCTAAATTGATAAAAACATAAAATACCATGGTCTCAATACTACTTATAGTATTCGATAGTTTTTTCCAAGTTCGTTGAGCCAATATCCTCGGTCTCCGAATCATTCGTCTTGATGGTTCCTCAGCACTACTAGCATGTCGATTTTCATCATCTTTGTGCATATCACCTAATTCTTAAAATACATTACCAAAAATAAGTTGATAATGATAAAAAGATGTGGAAAATTATACAGACCAATCGATAAAGCTCAGAACTTCAGTGATCTCTTTATTTAAAGATTGCTAATTTCTTCTAATAAACAATGCTAATTATATCAAATGTAAATTTTACAAAAGCGAAATCTTTAACAATTTCATTCCTAAATAATTTCTAGAATAAAGAAAAATCGAGAATATCACGATCAACAGAGTCATGATAAAGTAATGAGAACATTGGAATATTAAAAGAGCAGTCCACAGATTGGAGGAACAATAGATATCATTAAAATACGTATGTAAGTGTGACAAATGTGAAAGGTCAAATATACGTGACGCGTGGGTGCACAACGCAAGGTTACGTGAGCCAACACCCCGGTAAGTCAGAAGTGTTTGAATTTAAATAAAAATGTGCTTAAGCCGTGCAGCTAATTACCAAAGAGTCAGCTATGCAACATAAAGATGACTCATTCCAGGCGAATATTAAATATTGTCGAAATTTGTTTTAAACTAAACGACACTGATAGAAAGATGACAGAATTTGAAACTCTAAACTTTCCTGTTAGTTTGATATGACAAATTATTTAGCTATTGGAATAATAATTTCTCTAAGACACATAAGAACATTTTAAACAGTTTTCATGATATGTACCAACAAACTATAAGTAATAAAACTTAAGTTTACCAGCACAATTGAATGTGCCTTCAGTGTCATCTATTTCTTCATTTCTAATTTCTTCAAATTCTTCCTTCTCTGTCGAACATGGTTTAGGATCCAAAGGCTACAAAAACCTTATGCTTTTTTTAAATTCTTTCAAGCACAGCAGTTTTTAAATTCTAAACTGATCATAAAACGGAACATACCGTGCTTTCAATCCTATCTGGAGTATTTGAGGATCTTTTCCAAACTCGTCGAGCCAATATCCTTGGTTTTGGAATTACTTGTCTCGACAATTTCTCAACACCAGTAATATTATCTTGATTTTCATCATTTTTATGCATATCAAATAATTCTTGAAATATGTTAACATATAGATAAATTAATAGTGATAAATAGATGTGAGAAATTTTATTAAAAAATGCTAGCATCAATCGACAAAATTTAGTACTTTGATGCTTTTAAATAAGTTATAACGTCGTCAGTACGCAACGTCAGATTTACGTGAGTAAACATTCCAAGATGGAAATAAAAAGTTTAAATTTAAATACAAAAAAAAAGAACTTTCCAAATTACATAACTGATTATTATCAAATGTTTCCTAATTACATTGATATTTATCCCATTTAAAAAAAAAATATATTTAAATATTCAAATTATTTAAAAAAAAAAAAAACTAAATAAAAAGTATGAACTGTGATATGACAGTCATATTTTCACATATAACTTCCATCAATCAGTAGTTCCAAAGGTCTCAGCTACAACAAGTTTGTTTTTTCTTTTTTTCTTTGCATGTTATCTACCCTTCGTGTTACTTTTATACTTTCAATAAGTAATAATCAATTTCAACATTTTGCGTGCATGTGTGCGTGTCTGTGTCTGTCTGTCTGTGTGTGTGTCTGTCTGTCATGCGTGTGCGTGTGTGTGTGTGCGTGTGCGTGTGTATGTGTGATAGTATGTGACAATTTTTGAAGATATGGTGGACACAATTCAAACAAAGGAAGGTGCTGTAGCAATTAGTGCTGAGAATGTACGTAGTTCGATGCGTTCAGTTCGTCGTGGAAAAACAAAAATGATATTAACGCCTGCGTCACTTGCATCTCACGTACGATTCGTTTTGTTTATTATTTGATTTCACGTTATTTAACTCAGAATTGAAATTTAAAAGTGAATGCAATTCTGTTATACTTTCAGCATATATGACATTAGTAATACTTTAGTTGACAAATTGAAAATAGAAGTATATCGGATTTTGCATGATTCAGAAATGTTTGAAGTCTTCTTTTCTTTTTCATTTCCGGTTTCTGTTTTATTTATTCAGTTCTTATTTGAGAAATATTTTATTTGTTTGAATTTAAATTATAATAAAATCATTTTTTTTTTGGCTTGATTTTATTAAAATTTAATTTCACTCAGTTCAAAATTCTATTTCATTTGAATGATTTCATATTATTTATTAAAATTCGAAACAATGTCTCACTTTTACAACAACTCTGATCTGTATAACTCTATAGTAAATTTATTAGAGTATAAGCTTATTATTAGAGTTTTTACATCAAATGATTACTGGACGATGCTAATACATTCCACATATTTATGTCAATTCTGATTTGAAATTTCAAATTGTAATTGAATTAAAAATGAAATATGAGTATAACTTAAAATCGATTAATAATTTTCAGCTAAAAGCTAATGGCCGTAAACTTGGAGAGGGAATTGCAGATTTGTACGAACAATTTGAAAAAGATTCACCCACATTTTTTGCATTTTTTAGTGCTGAAAATAGAGCAAAAAACAAATTTCCAAATGGTGAATAAGCGCTAAATAATTTGCATAATGAATAAAACTGAGCGCAAATATGCTAAATTTCTCTAATTGCATTGAACTTTTTTGCATTGTTTAATTTTGATTTTTTATTATTTCATTTTTTTTTATTAATTTCCAAATGTATTTTATTTATCGAATAGCTTATCGTGCCAAAAAATTTTTTCGGTAAAAAATTTAAATTAACTTTAATTGATAAAAAAAATTGATGGAAGCGATTTTTTTTTTCTTTTTAATGAGATTTCCTATTTATTTATGCATCAATTTTCTTTGTATTACGTTTCGATTATATTTAATCGATTATTATATAATAGTAATAACAATAAATTTTTATTTTTTTTTTCAAAAATTCTTGTTATAAAGTATTAAACAATTGATTAGAAAAATGGAAAAATTAAATAAAATTAAAAACAAATTGAGGTAATAAGAAAAAAGAAAAATGATAATTTAAAATTATAAAAAATATTATCGAGGCAAGTATTTTTAGAGATATTTCTTCTGGATCGAACTCGAGTAGTATTGAATGAAAAGCCTGATTACTATCATGCATCATATGTTGATGGATGCAGACAGGCAAAATATAATATATCTTTTTATCGTATGCTTATATAATAAATTCAAGAAGAAAAACATTTAATATCCTAAGGCTAGGCTTATTTTTTAATGCAGGCCAAACAATATGTATTGGCTCAGGCACCATTTAATGAAACAACAGCCTGTGATTTCTTTCGATTGGTGATGCAGTGCAAACCAGAATTGATCATTGTACTTATGGATTTGAATTTAAATGATAATGAACAGTATGTTTTTAATAGTAACTAATAATTTATCATAATTTATCACTCACTCTCCCTCTCTCTCTTTTGCTTTGTCTTTTTCTTTTTCATTCTTTATATTAATAATGATAATAATCAATTATCATTTGACAAAGATTGTTACAATAGTTTAAGAACTATAATAATGCATATAGTAATAAATGAAAATGCTTTTTTTTTATCAACAATTTTTCTGATAATGAATGATAATGATAATAACAATAATAATAATAATAATAATAATAATAGTAATAATTGATAGATATATTATGGGATCAAAACCACGAAAGTATGGTACAATAAGTGTTCGAAATGAGAAAAATGAAAGTCGTTCCCTATCAAAAGAAACAGTTGAAAAATATAGCCATTATAAATTGATTGTAATGAAAGAAATGGAAAAAATTGAACAGAAATATCAATTATTAACATTTAACACATGGACCGATGATATGATTATACCAAAAGATGATTTCATTAAATTTCATAAATTGGTATGTTGATTAGTTAAACAGTAATTAGAAAATAGTAGTTTAATGAAATCTAAAATGAATAATAAATTGTATGTTTGAAATGAAATGTATAAAAAGAGCTACAACATAGTGTCATTTAATATTAATATATTAGTTTTATTTTATTTAAAGATAATTTTAAATTAAATTATAAATTAAATTTTGCATTGAATGATTACTTTTTCGATTACGATCTAATTGATAGTTTTATCATAATTAACATAACTAAACATAAAAATTATCATAACTGTTTCATTTTTTAATTCAGTTATATTTAATGGATTCAAGAAACTATACTAAATTGCTTTTATTTGTAATAAAATAACCTTTTTTGGACTATTTTGAAATTTGAAAATTTTAAGAAAAAAGCATAAGCATTCCTAAAAAAAGTGTTAAATGTTGGAAAGCAAATGACTGTATAACTCTTAAAAGTTTTTTGTTGTTACGGGAATGATAGGAAAGGAAAGGGATGAAGCAAACCGATTTTCTTTTAATCAAAAAATTTGTCCAGAAAAAAAAAATGGAATTATTAGATATAAATACGTTATGGAAATTTGAGAAACAAATTAAAAGGAAAAAACATTTTGAGAATGGCTATAGGATGCTAAAAATAATATTTATAAATCTGTAATATAGGTCAATAATTATAAATTAATACCTAGTAATCAATTAATTTATAATTATATTAATTATTAGCATATTAGGACTATTAAGTTGTTTATTTATACTTTAGAATATTGCAAATATGCATTTTTATTAACAATATTGTAATACATATGTACAAATTAAGTAATACTATTAAATTATGTATTAAATAATTTCAGGTCCATAAGCAATTAGAGGATAAACCCCGTGAATGCTCACAACTTGTCGTATGTCCAACAGGTGCTCATCGTGCTGGTGTATGGGCGGTATTTGATACGGAATCTGAGCGCCTGAAAACCAAAAATCGAATTCGGTTCTCTGATACAGTTAGTTTAATATTTCGTTAAATTAATAATGAAATTCTGATTGCTGCGATGAGATAGCATTGAGATTTCAGTTAAACCTCAATCAAAGAGTTATTATTATTATTATTATTATTATTATTATTATTATTATTATTATTATTATTATTATTATTATTATTATTATTATTATTATTATTATTATTATTATTATTATTATTATTATTATTATTATTATTATTATTATATATTACTATTATTATTATATTGATTAACTAATTGTTTTCAGTAATAGAATTGAAATTCTTTTTGGAAAATTGCAAAATTTAATTTATTGCTTCAGGTTGTATTTGATAATATAATTTAGATTGTATTTGACTTAATTACATTTTATTAGTTTGTCAAAAGAAATTTAAAAGATTATTGCACATTCAAATTGAATTCAAATTTGAATATGAAATTAAAGGTAAAGTATAAATTTAATAGAAAATTATAATATTATTAGTAATATATAAATTCATAAAATATTCATTCAAATGTAATAGTATATTTTACTTTCATAAATATTTTCTTCTTGCAGATTAAAAGTGTACGAAATCAACGATGCAATACAATTGAACATTTTGAACTATTTGATGGTCTCTTGAATCTTCTTGTTTCTTATGCTAAAACTCAAATATAAATTTTAATTATGCAGTTGTCATTTATCATATCACTTATCAATATATTATAAATATATACAAAAAAAAAAAAATCAAATTGTGTTGATTACATTAATTATTGACAAAATATTTTGCACTCTACTAGAATCTTTTATTTTTAATTGAAATTATATAAGCATACATTTGAAAATATTTAAATTAGAATCAGTGCATAATTTTAAAAGAACAGTCAATAATATTTTTTTTTTTAAAGAATGCATAAAGAGTGAATTTATTTTTAATTTTAGTTTTAATTCAAAAAAGATTATTGCAGAGAAGAAATCTGATAAAGAAAGCCAATTAAATTTCATAAATTGTTTTACCTTTTAGTACGAAAAGTGCTTTCGTTTTATAAACGATCAGTCAGTCACATTTAGGATAAATACTAAAATTAGTTTCCTTGGCAACAACATTAGCATTTCATAAAGTTTTGCTATTCATCCATTACATTCAAATTAGAATGTCATACAGAGAATTAAGAAGTTTGTTTTTTCTTTTTTTTTTTTTTTTTTAAAGTTATTTTTTTATTAAATTAAATTAATAAGGCTATTTAAGGTGAAACAGGTAAAATGGCCTAATTGAAAGTTGGATACGTCCTAGGCTATGACAAAATTGTGCCATTCTGATTTATTTGAAGTTTGTTTTAACACAAAATTTTGTATACTATTTTATTTTATCAATGTGAAATCCAAGCTAAATCCAAAGTAAAATTCTAAAACTTTTTTAAATAAAGAATATAATTGAATTCAAATTCAAAATTAATTTTTTTTAAAAAAATTTATTTTTTTGAGTGTTAACATCAAATGAAATTAAAATAGCCCTAATAATGTTGCTTTTAGATATGGTGGAACAGTTACGGGTTCTTGGTTACCCACGACTTGTTTCCATGGAAAATTTTCGAACACCAAATTTTAAATTGGTCGCCGAAATATTGGAATGGTTAGTGCATAGGTAAATCTTCTTGAAATTTCAATCAATCGTTTGTTTCTATTGTTGTGATTGATATATATTATCAATTTTCTTTGAGTAAAATAGAATTTAACATTTAAAAAATATAAATTGGTATGAATTTTCAGATATAACTTATTTTTATCTAATTGTTTCAGTTAGAATTCTAAAGAATTTTTTACAAATTATAATTGATTTAAAAGTTTCACAATCAGTAGTGCATTTAACTCTATGTAATCAGTTTATCATATAATCAGTTTATCATATAATCAGTTTATCATATAATCAGTTTATCATATATCATTCAGATACGATGCGCAAATTTCCATTCCACTTGTGATTGAAACAGAGCAAGAACGAGCATTTTTTATAAAATCAGCTACATTTTATATTCTTCAAAAAGCTCGAATTAAACTTAATCCCAAGAAATTGTACATGGTAAAATTTTTCATATATTTAAATTTTAATTTAAAATAATTAATAGCTATGTTCTGAAAGATTCTCGAATTACAAAACAATTAATCTAGTCATTGCATTTATAAATCCTATGTATTTATATAAATATCACATTTTAGTTCTTCTTTAACGAATAAAATTGAATGCTAAAAGTAATTTGTATATGGAAGAAATGTTTGGAAGTATAGATTAATAATAAGCTTAATTTTTAATTAAAAAATGACTTATGATTAATTTCATTAAATTATAATTGAAGGCAGATGGATATGCAGTTCAAGAGATTGCTGTTGTTGTACGAAATTTATATGAAATAACTCGTCATACAAGTGATTTCGATCAAAATGCTACAATTAGTTCGATGAGAAATATTATATCGAGCAAAATAAGTTTACTTTTCAATTTATTACAAATAATTCTCTTACGTACACGCACGTCACTATAAAAATATCTAACATAGTTGTACACGTACGTCACTATAAAAATATCTAACATAGTTGTAGCTATTAGCTATAAAAGTGATAAATTTCTTCAATTTTTAACTGAAATATGCAATATTAGAAAAAACTGAAAAAAAAAAAAACAATTTCAGAGCGAAGAGATAAAAAAATGTCAACAATTAGCATTACAAATTCCAAATCATGGTGCAACACTGTATGACCTTTTGGCAAAAGAGGTCACTGCAAGGGTGAAATTTCATTTATTGGTATTCTGAAAGTAAACTAGTAATCTAAGTAATTTTCACGTGATTAATCTGATTACTGTAGGACATGACCTATTTGATATGATCTATTTTTAAAAGTTGAACTTTTCAGGTTGAACGAAACAAAGCATTATCATTCTCGTTAAGTTTATCAGATGGTGAAAAAGCTATTTTACAAGCTACTCAAGCTATACAAGTATATTATTTATTTTTAGATTATTATTAGTAATTATTGAATGAAACTTTTCATCGATATATTTTCTTTTTTTTTAATTTTGAGAAAATTAAAAACAAAATAAATATTGCAGATAGAAGTAAAAAATTATCGTTTTTTTTTCCTTTTTTTCTGAACTATGAAATATTTGCATCTTTTATCATCAAAACTTTTATTTTTATAACTTATCTCTTTTTTTTCTTCTTTTTTAAATATAAATTCATTATGCTGTTATCAAAAGCACATGTAAATACGTAATTGATAAAATAAAAAGATAAAATTGTTTTTTAAAAAAACAAAAAATAGTTGCATAAAGTTTAAATATTAAACAATAATGAGAATAGATTGAAACATTTAATAATTTGGATTGAAATTATTAATTCTGTATAGTTTTAAAGGAGGAATTAGCTGTAATAAATCACAATTTGCAAAATGTTAGTTCGGATGAAGCAGCATTGGATGCAAAAATTGAACGTCGAAAGAAGGAATATGATCAGCAACAAAAACGCTTAGCTAAATTACAAGTATTTCAATTTTTCAATTATTACATATAAAATAAGCATAGTATTTATTTTACTTGAAATTATTACTTTATTATTGTAAAGTTTATTTTATGAGAATTACTGATTGACAATCGAGAAATGAAAGAAAAAAAAAGTGAGCAAACTACTATTAATGCTTGTATATATATTTGAGTTTTTTTAGCATAAATAAACCTATTAAAAGATGAATATTTTCTTTTTTTATTTATTCTATTATTAATTTTCTTTTTATAATTACTTAATTTAAAATTGCAAAAAAAAAAAAGTAGCGTTGCAGTCATTTCGTCCTCAATGTATGGATGAATACGAGAAATATGAAATGAAATTGAAACAGCTATATGCTATTTATGTATTAAAATTTAGAAATGTATCATTTTTACAAGGATTACAGGTATGTGTGACAGTTGACAGAAAATAATTTTAACTATTAATATCTTTTCATTATAATCGCCTTTTTTCTTTTTTTTTTTTTTTTTACTTTAGATGAAATTATTATTGAATGAAAATTTTCTTAGAATGAATTTGATCGAGCAGAACACGAACGAAATGTAGAAGCTGAACAAAATATGCGCAATATGGTGGAGCGCATGCGAGCACAAGAATTAATACTTCGAGAAGCACAGTATGTGATATTTAATTATTAAATTCATTAATATAATTTTATGAGAAAAATTAAGTGAAGAGAAATATTTTTTAATAAATTTATAATTTTACTAAAAGAAATAAATCAACAATGAAATAATTAACCATTGAATTTAGATTGATGTAATTAATGAATTTTCAGGATGGCTGGATTAGATAAAGAAGCAAATTCAACAAAACCAAAAGTCAAAGGTCTTCAAAGCATGCATATAATATTGAAGCTTTCTACCTATTGAATTTAAATTAATTCTTATAAAATATTCAAACTGATACGAATTATTTTGCTTTCTTTTAAGGGTCAAAAGTATTTGGCAATATGATTGGGGCAGGAATTAGTGACGATGATGATGATGATGATGATCAAGAAAATGATATTTTTTATGGAGATGATGATGTTGATGATGACGGTGATAATATTCCATATCGCAATAAGCTGGTCCTTTTTTTTTTTTTTTTTTTGCAAATTTCTATTTCATTTTGTTTTGTTTTTTTTCTGCTAATTATTTTAAACGAAAAGTGATGAATATTTTTTAGAACAAATCAGAATTGGAAGGAAATAATGGAAATATTAAGAAGTTGGATACTAGTAGCGAAGATGATTTCTGAAAAACGACATAAGTGATCGATCAATCGATCAATCAATCAATCAATATCCATTTCATCTAATTTTTGAAGATTGTAATAAAAATTTATTAATAATAATTTAATATATTGCAGAGAATTGTGAACTGATATCGATAATTTCTTTTTTACACATCTTTAAAGGAAATTAATTGTTTGATTCTTATTGAGTAAGAGAAGCTGCTTGGTTTTTATTGAATAGAAAATATGCGACAGGTAAGATGTTAAGTAAATAAGTGATAAATAACTTTCTTATCAATTGTCGAGAAATTATAGGTCTTCGTTAGGAGAACCTTTCTTGATTTTTTTTTTTTTTTTTTTTTTTTTTTGTTTGGAATTGATGTAGACGAATGTATTGAGAAAGAATCTACTATAATGAATTTTATTCGTTAACAAGTACGACATATAGTTGTCACTGATAATTTTGTATGACTTAAAAGTTTACGAATATGAGATGAAAAGAGAGAAATAAATCGATAGGAAATTTAAATAAAATATTTAAATGAGAGCGAAACATTGTAGTCTGTTGGTACCAAACAATTAACTTAAATAAACAATTTAAATTCATATATAATGGAGCCATTCGCTTACAGGAAGCAAAGAATTTATCTATCAGATGATTTCAACTCTTTAATTTTTATTCCTTATTTATTTTTATAGTAAAAGATGCACATAAATACATGGAGATTTGGTTTTTCTTTTTTTAAAAAATGAGTAATTCACAACATATTAAGCGTTAACAATTATATTTTAATTGTTAATAATTAAAATATTTTAAATAATGTAGATAAGTTTAGCTGCAACTGAAAAAAATGATTGTTTAGTGTATAGTTTTGGAATAGTTTGAAACATTTTTTAAACAATATTCAATTAAGAAAATCATTAATCGTATGGATTAACACAATTTTATTTTGACTTATGGATGGATACAATTTAATATAAATATTATTAAAATTCGATTCTTTCGATTCCAATAATTGAGATTTTTTTTTTCTCTTAGAAAAGAACTGAAATAGCAAAAGTTTTTTTGTAGGTAAAAGAAGTATAGAATTGAAGTTAAAAATAATTATCAACATTATTATAGTTCATTATTAAATTATTTTCTAATTTGGGTTGAAAAATATTAGAACAAAAATAGGTCATCAACAACTCATCTCGACAGAACTGAACGATTTAAATACAATTTATCATAAATACAAGATGATTTGTCACTTTCCTAAAACAGAAGAAATTGTTCCATTTTATTAATATTAATTTGATATTTCATATTCTAATGAATTGTTACGGCTAATATAAATATAATTAATTGACTATTTTAATTTTAGAAATAACCGCGGACGATAATTCCCACAGAAAACTTTTTTTTTTTCATTGCTATGAAATATTTATGAAAGAATTATAGCCAATCTTTCATCAGTTTGGATGATAAAAAGATAAAACAATATATTTCATTCTTGTTTTTTCTCGAAAGTTTTTGTTAAACGAGCTCTTTGTTGATGACATATATTTTCGAATTTGAATTAATTAAAACAATTATGATAATTAATTTTTTTAATACTGAAAGATTGTTAAATGTTTATTGAAATTCAAAATTCGAAAACATCAACTGATAACAATCAGTGTTAATGTACGAATAGTAATGAGAAGCAAATAGACAAATTTAATATTTACAATGCTAAATTGTGAGATTAAATTTAAAATAATTAAAAATTGACTCATTGCTTCTGAATAATTCAATAAATATAAAATTAAATAAATTTTTCATAGTATCACTATTTATAATATAAAAATTGTCTAATTAAAACAAAATGGCCTAAATTATCAACGAACACTCATCTTTATAACATAATAAATGAACGTTACAATGATCGGTTTTTTTCTCTTCGTCTTTTCTTTATTTTTTTTCTTTCTTTCTTTCTTTCTCTCTGTCTTTCTTTCCTTCTTTCTTTCTTGAATGATTATTATCTTTTCATTGAATGCTCCACATTTTTCTTTACATTCCCATCCCTTTCAATCCTATTATTATTATTATTTTTTTCTTTAAATTCCATACTTTGTGAAATATTTATTCATCAAAATTATAATATCTTTTTCGCATAGAAAATAGACTGAATTTCTTGACATTTTCAAAATTTAAATAAATAGAGTAAGTGAACAAGTAGGTTTGAAGAGTGAATTAATTTTAATTTCAATCAAAATTGGAATAAAATTTCTTGAAAACACTATCCTCAATCGATTTGTACATAAATTTAGCCTTCAGGCCGTGCCAGCAGTGTGTTATGTTGTAGTGAAATGTGGCCCACACTTCATTGAGTTCAGTTGTAAGTTAGCTGTGATAATCAGAGAGGAGAAATAGTTTATACTTTTGAATAATGATAGAAAGTAAAGGTCACGTGCCACGTGTTAAGTTAATATGACCTACAGAAGGAGGGAGAAAGAAAAAGAGGCATCAAACAATGTTCGTTTGATATAAATGGAATGTGTACAGGAAAGAATTGTTGATGTGATGGCTACCGATGGTTACGGTAATAGTGGAATGGTCACTTCGGAAGGGAACGATTATTTGGCTTATCTGAATAAAACTATCAATAATATCCGTTGTGCCAATGATTTTAATCGCGTTGCTCGTAAGGTTAACTTTTTTTTTTGTTAGTTAATTCAATATGAAATGCTATTTTATATTTTTAAACTATCATTTTGGCCATAAATAATAAAGTTATAACAGCATTACAACTCTTTTTTGATCATAATTTTGGTAATATGTCACTCGTAGTATATAAAAAGTAGTATATCAGATATCGAGAATAATCATTAACATTCTTCTCTTCTCTTTGTTGTTTTAGAAATTATACATATAAAAAGTAGTATATTAGACTAGATACAAACTTTTAAAAAGCCTAAGAATTGGCTACTAAATTTAATTGGTAAATTATTTGCCATCCTAATTCATTCAATCATTGTAATTACTAATAAGTAAAATGGTGATACGTACGTAATGATAGCTAATTACAGATACGTGCAGTATCGGCATCAGCTGATCGAATTGTCGTAGAAATGGTAGTGGAGGAGGAGCACGTTAACAGTAAAAAAACCTTACACGGGGGTCAAACTGCTGCATTGGTGGATATGACAACCGCACGCGCAGTTGGAATGACTGTACGAGACAAAGTTATGGTCTCCGTCGAGCTTGCTGTCAGGTAGGTACACTTTTTATGGAATGTTTCAATGTTCTATTCATTGTATTAAAGACATACCAATGCATTTTTTATATTTTTGTTAAAATAACTACTAATAACTAATATGCATAATATACTTATGAATTTAAATGGAATTTAAATATGTGTTGTATAGTTCTATACGTGTACACTTTATTTATATATTTATGCATGAAAAGGTTTTGTAATTTCCAGAGTTGTCAAAATATAACATATCTGTGAACAGTTACTCGAGATCGAGGTTTGCAAGCAAAAGTCTCATTTGAAGATTTATACAGTCAGTGATAGCATTTTAAAGTACCATGTATCCATGGTACTTTAAAATCGTCAGTGGCGTATGTTGTCTTTTTTAGTTACTTGTTACCGGTGAAACTTGGTGAAACGATTGAAATCGAGGCAAAAGTGTTGAAAATTGGTCGAAATATTGCTTTCACAGAAGCTGAATTTCGAAGAAAAGGTGATGGCCGAATAGTTGCTAAAGGAAAACATACCATAGCTTTCGTTCCAAAACCACCGACTACAAATGGCGATCCGTTCGAGCAATTTTGATATCTACATATTTCAGTGTAAGCGGTTTCCGTTCTTTACCATCTCAAAAATTATATATAACTATCATAATATGTTATTTACCGTTTAAATTTTTTTTTTTTTGCTTCGTAGGTAATTATTCCGTTTCTTGATATTCAAAAGTATTCTTGGCAATCAGAAGAAAAAAAAATAGATGAATATCCTTTGCATGCGGAATAGTACAAAAATAATTTAATTGGGTAAAACGGGTTACCTGTTCGTAAGAAACCGGTCCTGAAGTAATTTATTCTATGTACTAAACTTGTGTTGTATTATTCAGTGGGAAACGGTTAAGAAAGACTTTTGTACCTGTGTATCAACATTTGTGTTCGTGTACAGTAATTATGTTGCTATTCACTGTGTCGTGTACGTCTGTAACACTTTCTGAGTGAAGATGTCCTTCTAGAAATTCTAAATTCAGGAATTCACATAAACCAAGTCACCGAAATTCTTGCTGACTACGGGGGATAAAATGATATTAGCACTGTCGCCCTTGAAAATGTCGTTTTTGGTGTTCAGGTGTCTGTACCTTGATTTCAGTTCGAGTTCCTCGGCTACATTTTAGTACAGATCCTTTGGAAATGAAACAATATTGTTGC